CCAGATCTGGGCTTCCATAGTTCCAGTTTAGATTCATTTTGGTATTACAGAAATTATCAGTTTCCTCCAGAGAAATGGTTATGAGTAAAATGTCCTAGAAATAAGGAATATGATAATATCATATAAGATATGCTAGTTGCTCCGGGGGAAAGTATATTAAGATTTTACAAATTGAACACCAATATGTATCACATAGACTCAATCAGGACCAGCCCTGGAGAAAGTTGGCTCAGGCTGGTCATAAACTCTTCTTTTAAAATACATATTTTTACTTATATGTAAATACATATACTTATGTATGTGTTTGTGTTTGTGCCCACATGTTTGCAAAAACCTGTGGAAGCCAAAGAAAGACACAGAGCTGCTGGAGCTGGAGTTCAGGCAATCATGGACTGCCCAGCATATGTGCTGGCACTCAAACCTGGGTCCTTCACAAGAGCAGTAAGCACTCTTAACCACTGAGCCATCTCTCCAGCCCTGGTGTGTAACCCTTGACCTTCCTACCACAGTCCCCAGAGTGCTACAAGTTCAGGTAGATGTGATGACCCCTTTCTTTTAACACTTCATAGATCATCTTCCTAAGTCCAGAGCATCAGACTAATTCTCATCACTCAGTCGTTGTCACTCCCTGACACGTCCCTAATGTCTAAAACCCAAAAATCTTAAGGGAAAACAGATTTGAGGTTTGTTGCTGCTTGTTTGTTTTGTCTTGTTGTTGTTATGGTTTTTGCCTTTTTGGTTTTGCTTGCTCACAGTTTCAAAGGGGTCAGTCCATGGTTGCTTTGCCCCATATGCTTGGGCAGAATATCATGATTGGCTGAGTGCTTGACAAAAGGGGTCCTTTGCCTCATGTTAGCCAGGAAGCAGAAAGCAAGTAAAGACAGAGGTCCCAGTATACCCTTCAAAGGCATGCCCCAGTGATCTTTCTCCAGCTAGGTCCCACCTCCTAAAGTTTCCAGAGCCTCCAAAATAACACAGCCAAGCAGAAAGCAGGTGTTCAACTTGTGGGGAACCCGTGGGGAGACTTCATATTCAAATTATAATGTTGTGGGGTATCCGCCAGAGAAGACTGATTTCGTCTTTCATCCTGTGACAGTCATGGATGGGCACCTGCAGGTTGGCATCAGCAACAGTTCATCATCAAGCAGGATTGGTGGCTGATGGCAGTGGGTTTCTCAAACCGGTCTTGAGACTGGTCCAGGAGCAGGGCCTGGTACTGGGTCACTCAGGCATTAGACAACCAGCATTCTGGTGTTTCTCAGAGAAGGGCCTCAACTGTATGCCATGCTGTAAGTATAACATCTTGACCCAGAGTTAACTTTTTTGTTTGTTGTCTTGTGTTAGATTAGCAGTAGCTGCCACAGCTTTTAGGTGGGCTATCCTGTGGCTACAGGGTCCAAATGTTTAGGCAGGCACATCAACAGGCATTTTCACGGTCCTTTGTTTTTTTGTTTTATGGACAAACTGATAAAAGAGTTTTGAGACATTTAGAAGTGCTAGGGCAGGAGCTGAAGTCAGAGACGATTTTAAAGCTTCAAATGCCTTTTGTTTAGTCTCAGTCCAGTTTGGGCGCTTAGTGCCCTACTTTGTGCTGGTGTGTAGAGGCCTTGCTATTTCCACAAACTCTGGTATTCAGAAACAACAATATTCTGCTGCACCTCAGAAGACTTGAACCTGTCTTTGGAATTAGGATCTGAAGGGTGGCAGCGATCCTATTCTGAAAAAAGCTCCTTTTCGCTCCCCTCAGCTTGTATCCAAGATAGGTAGACTCTGATGCACAAAGTTGGGCTTTCTTAGCCAACATTCTGTATACAGCTCAAGGGATCTATCTCTTGCAGAAGTCCCTCAGTAGTCCTTTTATAATTTATTTTTGTTTAAGAGGTTAGAAGGGGGTCATTTACATAGTGTAAGCATATGGTCTTGGACAGACCTCTGACAGAAGGGCAAGGAGGTCAGCATTTAGTGTCTCATCAAACAGGGTTGGAGAATTTTTAAATCTTTGGGGCAACCTGGTTTGTGTAAGTTGTCTGCTGTAATATCCCCCTGGGTCTGTCCATTTAAAAGCAAAAATGGGTTGACTCACCTCTGCCAATGGGAGGCTGAAGAATGCATCTTTCAGGTCCAAGACAGCGTGCATCCATTTCTCTGGAGGAATCAGACTGATGAGAGGCAGAGGTCCCAGGTTTCTTCATAGGCAGGAATGCTAAAGAAGAGAATTAAGAGGTCTTGCATCTGGGCATAAAAAAGCCAACCTGACCAGATGAGATGAAGAACAGGTCTCCAGGAGAAAAGGAACAAAGCAAGTCTTGGTGCTGGCAGCCTCTGACACCCAGTAGGGCTCCCAAAGAACATGTGCAGGAACCGTTTCTTTTTTGTCAATTGTTCTAATTCTTCTAACACTGGACTAAATTATGGGTAAGGCTGGTTCGTAAACATCTATTCCAGGAAGGGATGCCACAGACTGCCCGTAGACAAGGAGCTGGATATGGGATAGCAAAGGAAAATAACAGTTGCATCTTGGAAGCTAGGTCTCCTGGCAGACACCCTGTTGGGCTATGTTGTAGTGTTGGGATATATAATATTTATTATCAGTCCTATGATTAACGTGGCAGTATTATCTAACCCACTATCACAAATAATAACATACAGACAACGGTTAGACTTTATAATTGCCTTCTTTACCAGGCAGATTTTCACCTACACTGTCTCAAAAAGTTCACCACCCATTGCCCAGGCCCCACCCAATGCCATCCACCTTAATCCTCCTCGTCTGGTCTGCCTTCCATCCATAACCCCATGGTACTTGCTTGTACTTTTCATCTGGGCCTTTTCACGCCATTATTGGAGTTCTTCCTCCCAGCCCATGTGGTTTCTTCTCCACGCTAACCCATCATGGAGTCCTCCTTCTTCCTCCCTTCCCGTCTGTCTGTCCCTTGTGATCTCCTGTCCTTTCCAAACCCAGGAACCTTAGCCATGCCTACACCATTCTGCCCTGCCCAGGTAGAGGCCATTTAATCAACCATTCAGGTACGTGTTAGGCAGGCTTACAAAACAAGGACAGGTGTAACCAGATCTTGAGGCCCAGTAACAAGCACCAGACCAACCTCCAACGGGGTTAAATCCTTGACACTGCAGTTAGCTTGTTTCCACTATGTCACAAAGTGTCTGATCCCATGGACTAGATTCACCTGCAGCTGTGAGCTGCCAAACAGGAGTGCTGGGGATCAAGCCTGGATCCTCTGCAGGATGAACTGCTGAGCCATGTCTCCAGCTCCTAGACACACTTTTAAAAGCAAGGAGAATTCAAGACTCCTTTGAAATTTTTTCTTGAAAAGGTCGCATTTCTCATTGTAGCTTCTGACCTTTGGTATTATAAACATATCGTAAACAAAGCCGTAAGTCCACAGAATCTTTTCCTGTGTTCTATTGACTTGGGAAAGAACTAAATTCTTAAGTTCTTTACTCTTAAGTAAACTAACCAAAACTCAAAAGTCATGAAAAAAGAGTGATCAAAGCGAGTTTACTATGAGGTGCAGAACTGGTTAATTCTTACACAATGAGCATAACATTAACAGAATAAAACATTTAAAACTTACATGAGCACCCAAATAGATGGTTACCACAAGCACCAGGGCAGAGGAAATTGCTCCACAGGTAAAGTGCTTGCTCTGCAAACCTGAGTTCATATCCCTGGCTTCTACATAAAATTCAGAACCTGGGGCCAGCAGACATCTCAGTGGGTTAAAGGTGCTCACTGCCTGAGGATGCAGAGCTGATGACCTGAGTTTGATCTCTGGAACTCAAAAGTGGAAGGAGAGAAATGATTCTACAAATTGGCCTCTGACAGCCACACTGTACCATGGCATGCGCGCGCGCGCGCACACACACACACACACACACACACACACACACACAAGGTGGGGGTGCTCTAATTCCAGCATGCTGGAAGCTAAGACAAGAAGATGGTGAGTTGGAGGCAGATAAATCTGAGATACTGTCTCAAATAAAACACAAAAATGCTGGAGTGGGGTATAGCTAGTAACAGGGCATTCACCCAAAATGTAAGAGGTCCTGGGTTTTATCCCAACACTGAAAAACAAAGATAGAAACGAAATTAGTGATTAAAGAGGTTTCTTTACCTGATAAAGGATTTAATTTTAAAACTCGTAATAAATGTGGTGGTGAAATAGTGAAATTTTTTCCTCTGAGATTGACAAAAATCCCCAGGGCCACAAAAAAAAAAAAAAAAAAAAAAAAATCATTAAAATCCAGAATAAAAGGATGCTCACTAGATTCACTTCTATTTGGGATCAAATAGAATGCAATAAGAGAGGAAAAGAAATATAATGTATAAAGATTTGGAAGGAAAATAAAACACCTACAGAAGAAATGAATGAAATTATAAAAAGTCAAAAAGAATCTTTTTTTTTTAAATTGGTTTTTGAGAGAAGGTTTCTCTGCATAGCCCTGGCTGTCCCAGAATTCACTCTTTAGACCAGGCTAACCTTGAACTCAGAGATCTGCCTGTCTCTGCCTCCTGAGTGCTGGGACTAAAGGTGTGCACCAACATCAGCTGGCTCAAAAAGAATCTTTAAACAAATTTCTCAGCACACACACACACACATCAGATCTACTACATATAAAGTCAATATGATTTTTAAAATATCTTAAGCTTCTAAGAGAAAATGAAATGTCGATGGATGCTATTTCAAACCGTGTCAAACACATTAAACACCATCCAGATGCAGTGGCATGTGTCTCTAGTCCCAGCTTCTCAAGTGTCTGAGGCAAGTGCTGGAGGCCAGAGGCTGGAGTCCAGCCAGGGCAACATACAGAATGTAAACTGTAGAAAACAATTGCAGACAAATATATAAACCATAAACATTACGACATATGAGCCATATGTTTATAAAACATATAAACTATAAATCCCATAAAACCGTGAATTACTAGTCCAAACCCCGGGCCTTAGTAAATGGCGGCTTCAAAAGTGCTCACGAATGCTCACCTCAGCAGCACATACACTAAAATTGGAACAATGCAGAGAAGACTATAATGACCCCTGCACAAGGATGACACACAAATTAGTGAAATGTTCCATATTTTATTTAAAAAAAAAAAACAGGAGAGCAGGGCTGGAGAGACGGCTCAGTGGTTAAGAGCACTCACTGCTCTTCCGAAGATCCTGAGTTCAATTCCCAGCACCCACATGGCAGCTCTCACCTGTCCCATATCACCTTCTGGTGTACAGATGTACTGCAGACAAAATACTCCTATACATAAAACAAACAAACAAACAAACAAACAAACAAAAGAGCTCACATACCAGAAGACTCTACGTGTTAAAGATGACACTTTTCCATCTAGTTAACCTCCGGATTGTGTGCAATTTCCATGTTAAAGAATTTCTTAGCAGGTTCTAGCATGTTTACGTATCATCACAATTAAGAAATTGGTTCTGAGGTTTAACTGGAAACACAAAATGGCAGCCAAGATGTCTAGGGTGGTGAGTTACTCTACTTGCTAACATGGCATGGAGGCAGTGCAGGGCTGGGGCAGGAGAAACGCCTGCACGCTGGTGGGGAATGGAGTCCGGAAGCGCCCCACAGGAGGAAAGATGACACTCATGGAAACTACAGCATCACAGCAAGATGGGATAAGGACTTATGGTTTTGTTTGATTCAGTGCTGGAGACTGAACCCAAAGCCTTGTCTTGTAGATGTCTGAGCTGCGGCTAAGCCATGAACTGTCTTCCTAATAATGGTGACAGTCAATTGAAGAGCTGTATAGGATAATGAAACCTTTTTCTCAGTGTTTGTACACATGGACACACACAGAGAGAGGGAGAGAGAGAGAGGGAAGAGACAGAGAGAGAGCATTCCTAGAGGATTTAGAAGCAAATGTAAGAAAGTTGATATTAATTTAAATGATAATTTATAAGATTTAGAAAAGAAAGTATATTTATGGCCTTAAAAATGGAAATATTTCTTAAGAAATAAATTGATTAATAAAGAAAAGATTGACTGGGTCCAGCTATATTAAAATTAAATGTCCTATTACCAAAGGCATTTAGTGAAGTCAAAATGGATGCCACAAACTTAGAGATGAAATTTAATATTATGTATATGTATGTATGTATATATATAACTGAAAAAGCAAATGAAAAAAAAAAGACAATCCCACTTCAAATACTCAAAAGATTTGAGTATATATTTCATTAAAAGGATATATAAATGGCCAATAAATATTAAAAATAGATGAATCGGCAATCAGGGATATTCTGATTAAAACCACAATGAAGTAGAGCCACGTGCTTAGGGCCGATGTGAAAATACCACCCACTCCAGGGCTAGTGTGTATGCAGAGTAGCCAGTGGTGGTCAGGGGAGGGGATCGGTGCAACTGTCACGTAAAATCTGAGCTAAATGCACATGTGCCCACTTGTCCAGAAAAGGCTCCTTTAGGCACACGGGGCTGATGGAAACTCGATGCGTGTTCAACAAAAGTCACAAGAAAGTTTGTAGCTGCATTTCTCACAGCAGTCCAAGTCTGAAACAATTGAGATGCTATCCATGCAGAACAAATAAATGTTAATCATTTACACAATGGGAAATGCACAGGAGTGAAAATAAGCTACACCAGCCCCGCAGACGGCTTTCGTTAGCACAATGTACAACAGAAAGAGCCAGACCCTACCCCCCAAAAAATAGACATTGCATTACTCTTTTATTAGTTTTAAAACAAACAAAACTAGTGTATGGTGTTAGAAGTTCTTAAGAAGTGGGGTTGGTGAGGCGAAGGCAGTGTTCCGGTGCTCGTCTGTGGGTAGTCTGGGGGCTGGATACTAAGGGCTTGTGTATTTTTCTGCATGTGTACTGCTCTTCTATGTCAGAAAATGAAAAATCAGGCTGGAGAGATGGCTCAGCAGTTAAGAGCACTGGCCGCTCTTCCAGAGGAACCAGGTTTAGCTCCTACCAGCCATACAGTGGCTCACAGTCATCAGGAACGCCTGTTTTGACCTCCAGCAGCCGTGTGAATGTGGCACACTGACATGCATGCAAGCAATAAAATGAAAACATTAGTACATAATTAAACAATTAAAAGGGTCTCATGATCTTCTGAATTCAGCAATTCTGAGGCAGCATGGAGCTTTCCTACAACTATGTGTACTATGTGGTGATTACTTAATATATACACACTGAAAAATAATAGACTTTATATTAGGTTTACAGAAGAATGGAGCGGAAAATGTTTTTATTTGTTTGTTTTGGTTCTTGAGAAAATCAGCATTATCAACAAATTTTTATTGAAACTGATGTTTTTATTATTATATGGCAGGAGGATTTCTTTTCTGGTCTAATTTATTAAGTGTTCTGTAGGCCTCTTGTACACTTATAGGCCTCTCCTTTAAGTTGGGGAAATTTTCTTCTATTATTTTGATGAAAATATTTTCTGGGCCTTGGAGACAGGAATCTTCTTTTTCCTCTATTCCTATTATTCTTAGGTTTTGTCTTTTCATGTTGTCTTGGATTTCTTGGATGGTTTGTGTCAGGAATTTTTTAGATTTATTATTTTCTTTGACAGATACATCAATTTCTTCCATTGTATCTTCCACACCTGAGATTCTTTCTTCCATCTCTTGTAGTCTGTTGGTTATGCTTACCTCTGTAGTTCCTGTTTTCTTTCCTAAGTTCTCCCTCTTCATGATTTCCTCCATTTGTGTTTTCTTTAATTTTTCCAATTCTATCTTCAGATCTTGAACCGTTTTGTTGATTTCCTTCACCTGTCTGACTGTATTTTCCTTCAATTCCTTCACCTGTTTGTTTGAACAATCCTCTGTTTCTTTTATTTCTTTCAGTGATTTAATCATTTCCTCTCTGAAAGCCACAAACTGTTTGGCTGCATCTTCCTGTATTTCTTTATGGCATAATCTGTTTGACTTTATCGTTCTCTAATTCTTTACGCAATTTATTTGTTTCCTCCATTAACCTCTTCATAAGCATAGATGTAAGGTCATCTTCTTAAATTTCACTTATGTTAGGGTGTTCAGGGCTACTTGTCCCTGGATACCTGGGTTCTGGGGATGCCATACTGCTTTGCCTTTTGTTGGTTGTGCTTTTACGCTGGCCTCTACCCATCTGTCCATCTCTGGTGTTGTCTGTTAACTTTTAGTACCTGCTGGAGTCCTGGGGTGGGAAAATCCCCTTGGCAGAGTTCTGAAGGAGATCTCCTCAGCTTTTTTAGTATGGTCAACTGAATGGTGGTGCTTCTCAGGAATTGTCACAGTTCACCTCAGGCATATGGACCTGTGTGGTTACTGTGTTCAGGAAGGCTCTCCTCTCATCAAGAAAAGTCCTGTGGACAGCTGCTCTGCTGCTGGGTTTCTTGCTCTGAATTTAGTGAGCTGCTGCTGCTGCTGTTAAGCTGTACTTGCTGGGCACAGCCCTCATGAAGAAACACAGAGTCCTGAGGTTTTGTCAGCGTAGCTAGGGATAACTGGTCACACCTTGGAGCAGTATCTGAGGGCTGCTCCAGTGGCTCTCAGGCTTTTGTAGGTCTGAGGTTGGAGCAGTGTGCCCCAGTGCCCTAGCCATAATCAATGCCAGGTGAACACAGCACCTGCAGTAGAAAGCCAGAGCCTAGGGCCTGTGGGAACCCAAAAGCCTTTCTGGAACTGGGTGTCCTGAGGGTTGGAAGCGATGTTTTCCCGAGTCCGTGGTGTTTGGGGGTCTGCAGGTCCGTCTGGGATGGCGAGTAGAGCAAGCAGGCACACATAGTGTGTGGCTGTGCCTTGCTGGGGACTGGGTGCCTGGGCACTTGCAGCAACCCAAGGACTTTCCTGAGAACTTTTTTTGGGGGGACGGTTGTCGGCTGAGTGCTCTGAGGTCAGACCTGCTCTTCCCCTCACTGTGGGCTTCCCCCCGACAGAGAAACTCAGTCTCTGGTGCCCTGTGACCCTCATTTCTGTCTGGGATAGTAAGTCAGGTGCACAGGCAGGACTCTGTGCTGGCAGCTAAGCACCCCACTTTGGGCTGGGACCCAGGTCTTTTTCCAGGGATTGTCTGGGTGACCTAGGTCAGTCCCAGTCACTTCCTGTACCGTGGGGTTTTCTCTGCACTGGAAATCCCAGTCTCTGGTGTTTGGGGGCCCATAGTTCAGTCTGGGACAGTGATCAGTGTGGCTCTGGGCTGGCATTTGAGCATCTGGCAGGACCCGGGAACTGTTCTGCCGCTTAGCTGGGTGACCCGAAGCTGACTGAATTCCACATTTCGGGGTTTCCTCTCGCCTGGGAAACACAATCACTGGTGTTTTAGGGCCCGGAGTTCCGTCTGCTGGTCACTGTGCAGATCCTGCTGTGCCGCTGGTCAGAGTGTCCTCCCGGCGCCGCCACCTTGGATCTCCCGGGAAAATGTTTTTATATGTGCCCTCACCTCTGCCACAAATATACAAGCACGCAGCTCATGGGTGTCTTGCATCATTATTGTGGTCCAGTTTGTTACAACGGCTAAGGAACACTGAGACATTATTATTATTATTCATTAAAGTCCGCAGCTGACACTGGAATTCACTCATTATGTTGATTGTGTTTAAATGCACAATAAATATGAAATTACAAAACCTTGTTTTGGTCAGATAATTCTAATTAAAACCACAATAAGATACTACCACAAACCAAAGGGGCAAAAAAATTCAAAAGATCAGCCACACCGGTATTAGTGTGGCCAGTATAGAATAGACAGACTGCACCTCTTCTATGCTGCTAGCGGGAATGGAAGTTGGAACCACCACCAGGAGAAAACCCCTCACTGTTTAATTTTATGGATCTTAACAGATGTATAATGATAGGTACCCACCACTAGAGTTAGCCGGGTAGTTTTAAATTAGTCTTGGTTCCTCGGCTTCATCTACTTTCTGTAGTGATTATTCACTTCCACTACTGATGTATGTTTCCTAAGGATGCTGTGAATGTTTTATGCCATTAGTTAATGTCATAGGTGAAAAAGCAGGTATATAAAAATTTAGGGTCAAGTAATTGAGCAGGAGATGTCAGTTTCTGGGCCTAAAATTTCAGAGCTAGCCTACCTTCCACTTGTCTTGGCTAGTTGAA